TTTAGGATTTAGGGATTCGGGTTTAGGTTTTAGGGTTTAGGGTTGATGTGGGCTTTCCGAAACCCTAAAGCCTGAACCCTTGAAGACCTAGAACTAGAGGTACCTTTTTGAGATGTCCTTGTAGCAAGGATTGCAATACTTAGGACGCACCACCGAGTGCTTAGGCAAAGGCTTTCGGCTACTGTAAGGAGGAGAGGGGTTCTCTACGAATCCTAACGCCCCCTGCGGCCCACCGGCAGCCCGTTGGAGAAGTAAGATGCTGAATTGAGTTGCAAAGTGTTTCGTTAATATAGTACAGCTTCTATTGTTGTTTTGATGGCGAGGATGATGGTCGGTTATGCGGATTGCCGCTGTTGTCTGTTGTTGGTGCTGGTGGGTAAGTTAGTATTCACTCAACTCGGAACCTTGACCCTGAACCGTAAACCCTAGACCCTAAGCCCTAACCCTAAACCCCAAACCTTAAAACCTAAACCCCAAGGCCCTAAACCGCTAAACCCTAAACCCAAAACCCCAAACCCTCAAAGTCTTCGTAATCTTGTTTCGGGTTAAGGGTTTAGCGGTTTAGGGGTTTAGGGTTTAGGGCCAACTCTCCATAATCCTCATCCCAATATCGGCAAATCCCAAAGCCTCACGCTGACTCGTGCCTAAACTTTACACCCCAAGGTTGAGACCCTAAACCCCACACATGTTCAGGTGGGTAGTTATGGTTACAGGAGCCTTATAGAAGGTCTATATACCTTCTAGAAGCCTTATAGAAGCCCTATATACCCTAAGCTCCCCACCTGTAGTTTCCTTTAACCTAGGTTGTTGCCGACCTACCCTCGCAGACCACCATCGTGAAGGAGGATCTCCAGGAGCAAAACCCCCGGGCTTGAAGGGTTTAGGGTTTAGGGTTTAGGGTTTAGGGTCTAGGGTTTAGGGTTTAGGGTTCAGGGTTTAGGGTTTAGGGTTGTGGGAGATCCGGGATTTACAGAAGGGCGAAGGCTTAGAGCTTCAGAGCTTTCGGGTGGTGGTGTAGAACTTTCGGCCGAAAGCTCTTGTTTCGGGGTTTTGGGGTTTGGGTTTTAGGTTTGGGGCTGTCAAGTTTTGGGTTTGGGGTTTAGGCTTTGGGGTTTGCTACGCTGGTTTTGCAACGGGATAGAGTATGCTGTGGTGCAGATGTAGAGCAGAGGGAGCAGAATAACGTGTTTTCGATTCCTAAACCCTAAACTCTGAACCCTCTCCGCTTTTCGAGGTTCCCATATAATAACCCGAGCCGCGAGTCTTTAAACACGGGACTCAGAAGCACAAGTCCAGACAACTTCACCCAATGCTTTAGCCCTTGACATGTTTCCAGGATCCTAAACTCTAAACCCCAAACCATAAATTAATTAAAGCCCTAAAGCCTAAACCCATTCCGTAGACACTCCTCGAACAAAACCTGCGCATCATCCAAACATCACCCCATTCACGAAAGCGCTGAGGACGCAGGACCTCTTCTGATTCCTAAATCCCCATCAAGACAAGGGAAACAAAGCCGCCCCAATACCCACGAAATCCCGACATCCACCAAATCTCCGATATTTTTGAGAATCCCAGAAAGTTGGAAGATGGATTTAGGCTGATTGGTGCTGGGAAATTCCTATACATTCTGAAGAGCATGAGGATAATGATGTTCCCATTTTCTGGCTTCTACCCTAAACCCTAAACCCTAAACCCTAAACCCTAAACCCTAAACCCTAAACCCTAAACCCTAAACCCTAAACCCTAAACCCTACACCCCTGAGCCCAAAACCCCAAAGCACCAAGTGCCAGCGAGGACCGCGAGCCGAGTGAAGTAGTCACGGAGCTCACGGCCAGCCTTGCGCTGGAGGCGTCCGAGCGAGGCAAAGTGGGCATCTCAGTGCGGTTTGAGAGTGACGCTTGGGAGTTTAGGGCTTAGTGAACCCTAAACCCTAAACCCTAAACCCTAAACCCTAAACCCTAAACCCTAAAACCTGGTAAGGCTCAGTTCGGTTTACGTAAAGGAAAAAGGCGGGTTCTCTTAAGGTTGGGAGAGGCCCCAGGCTCTGAACTGCTGGAAGTCGCCGGGACAGGGTTTAGGGTTTAGGATGGGCCGTCCATTTTGTACACCGAACCAACCACAAATACCACTAACCTCTGAAGCCCTCAACCCTCAACCCGAAACCGGTTTAGGGCTAATGGTTTAGGGTTTAGGGTCCGATCATGAAGCGGAACCCAGAAAGACCCAGAGACGTGCGCCTTCAGGGGCAGACTACACGCAGCACTGGCTCGTGTCGCGCGAGAAGGGTGCTCAGAGGCCAGCAAGCACATTATGATCCGTTATTATGTCTTCCTGGTTTTAGGTCTTAGGGTTAGGGTTTCGGGATTATTTGGCATCCTAGCAGAATGGGGATATGTAGTTTTCCCTGTAATGATAGCTTGGACTGTCTAATTTATGTGGCTAAGGCCTTCGACAAGAACTCTGACACCTAGTGAGAGCTCTTAGGAGCTTCGCTAGGATGTTGGGGCTGCAGGTTAAGCTTTGATTATGGGCCGTGACGTTGGGCACGGTTTAGGGCTTGTTCTAGGGTTTAGGGTCACAGTCGTCATTGACAAAAGTGTCTTCGACCCGCCATCAGACATCACACCTCTAGTGCAGAGCATCAGTTCGGCTGTGAACGCGGCGGTAGCCAGCGACCGGTGGCTCCACATCCCAATGCTCATGCTTTGAGGATGATACACGTGGCAGGTGCAAGAAACTGTGGCATGCATCCAAAACCCTACATTCCTACATGTTCAATAGAACCTGCTGGCCGTATATCCAAAATCCAAAGCCCCAGGCCCATTTTAATCTAAACTCCCAACTGGCCCTCAAAGCTACACCTCGAACCCCAACCCCTAAACCCTAAGCCCTAATCCCTAAACCTCACGTCACCTTTGGCTGAGGGCTGTGGGGTTCGGAGGTAACGGGATCCCTCAATGACTTCCCCTCAACGGGGCTTTCTGAATGCATGAATGCGGCTATAGCGGTTCAGGGCTTCGGGTTGCATTTTTGTTAACCAGTTTTTTCAGAGTGTAGGTGTCAGCTAGGTTGTAGCGATTCGGGTCATGGGTGCCCAATGTGGTGCTGTTCTCCTTAATTGCAGGCAGTCCATCCTTCCGTTTAGCTTCACGTAAACCGTCCAAGCCAGGGTCCGCGAAAACTACCCGGCCATCTGGCGCGAGCTTGTCCTGGCGCCTCCCGTCGACGTCCTCGTGCGGAGCTTGTTCCAAGTGCTCAGAGTGGGGCGCTCGGTGGAGGGCTTGTTGGCACGGTTAGGGGACCCTAAACCCTAAGCCCAACTTAGTGTAGTGCAGAAGCCTAGATAAATGGCACTCTACTCCACAGGGTTCTTTGTTAAGTATCGTTTTGCTTCAATATGCACCCAAAGACCTGATCGAATCATTAAGGCCCCTAAAGTCGGGGGTCTGCCCTGGATTTTGGCGTGTTGATGGTCGAGGCTAAGGTAAGACTGAAGTTCCACACAATCAGTTTTGTCGAAGAGCCGGGGTCTAGGGTTTAGGACCATGCTAACTAGAGGAATTGGTGTGCCTCTTTATTGAGATTATATTAGGCTTTTTGGACCTGATAGGAGCCGTAATGATCGGAGTAGGGCTTTTGACGGTATTTATGCTACAAGCATATGAAGGGAATCCCAAAAAATACTAGTCCCTTCCCCAAGACAATCGCTGAACAGCTTACTACCTAAATCCTATACCCTAAACCCTAAACCCTAAACCCTAGGCTTCAGGAGTTCCTTCACTGCCCACGCAAACTTACGGCATGTAGGGCAACAGGACCTGTCTCTGCAGAGAGCGTGTATTTAGGGTTTAGGGTTTAGGGTTCAGGGTTTAGGGTTTAGGGTGTAGCTCAAAGCGCGAGCAGCGAAGTTCTGTTTCTCGGTGCTTCGCAGGGTCGCTGGCACAAATACATCGAGCTGGGTAGGGAAAGCCCTCTGTACAGTTATTGATGAGGCAGCGGCATCTAGAGCCCGCAAGCTCTCGACCTTAAACGTTAAAACTTGGGACCGTTCGATCGCCAGCGTTTTCACCCAGACTGCCCCAAAGACTCAGTCACCACTAGCTGTGGACAGGTTACACACGGTTGGGACATGATGAAACAAACGACCATGCAATATTGAATTAGAGAAACATCGATGCAGCAGACACACATGCCTACATACTTACCCCATCGCTCTGTTTCACACACCTCGAACACTGCCAACTTCTACCGCGAAGTGGAGATCATACGTACTGCGAAGAGTACCGCGGATGCCATGGTGCCAATTTTGCAGGCAGATAGAACGCTGGCTAAAAGCCGCAGGTCTAGAGTGTTTCTTGCCCTTTCTAGGGCTTATATCAGAGCGTGAGGGTTTAGGATTCATTGTTTGGGGTTTCTGTAGGAGGCATTGAAGTCCGTGATGCCGAGGCCTGGACACAGGCGTTTTCCGAGTGCCCGCAGCTCAGAGGGGCTTGGTGGGCGCGTCGGCATTTCAGTCGCTCCAAACTTATGAAATCTGATAAAGTAAGGTTCTACAGCGGTTCTAAACGGATTTTATGTCGCAGCGTTTTGGGACTCTTAAAGGGTATGTCCATGTGCAACCAGTTATAACTACGTATGTCAGCCAGAGGTCATGCCTTTGCATCCAGTACAGTACCGGGCTCACTGCGGAACGAGATAGGAGCCACACAGAAAACGAGATACTATAGGCCATCATATTGGATGTACCGACGTTCTGAATCTGAATTGAGCTTGCAATTTGCTTTAGTTCGCGACTCAAGTTGCGTTCCGACCAAGCGTTCGCAGATTGACGTTTTCCCTAAACCCTAAACCCCTAAACCCCTCAACCCCTAAACCCTAAACCCTAAACCCCTAAACCCTCAACTACACCTTCCCTCAACCCTAAGTAGCCCTGAGAACCCAACCTAAAAGCGTAAAAGCCTAAACCGTCAACCCTAAACCCTGCAGTAACACTAAGACCCTAGCCCAAACCCTGCAGTAATCCTATAACCCCAAACCGTGAACCCAATAGCATAAAGCCCTGAAGGAACCCTAAAGCCCCAAGCCCTGAACCCTAAACCCTAAACCCTAAACCCCTAAACCCCAACACCCAAGCTCCCAGGTCAGTTTCGAAGCATCCGGCACGCCGCGGTGGTCGCCGGTTTGGCGCTGGTGGAGGGAGTCAGCGAGCAGTGCCTTATCAAGGGTTCAGGGTTTAGGACTTTGGGGCTACGGTTTAGGGGTTTTAGTTTTTGGAGTTTTAGGGTTTCGGGTTTAGGATTTTGGGGTTAGGGGTTAGGGTTTAGGACTTTTGAGGTTAAGGGTAGGATTTTTGGGCTAGGGTTTAGGGGCTAGAGTTTCAGGATAAACCCCAAACCCTAAACCCTAAACACTATAGGGTATGTAGGGTTGTAGAGTTTAGGGGCTAGGAGTTTTAGGATTTGGGCTTTAGATCTAAAAGCCTGAATAATTACCACTGTTATTCCTTAGGGCTCCCTATTATACTTATAGTGTATTATACCCCAAAACCCTAGTCCAATTACTAAGGTCCCTATACTGGACCCTTACAGTCTACAGTAATCCTTATAAAGGAAGCCTTAAACGACTCCTTTAAAGGAGCCCTAGTCTAATTATCCTGGTCCCTGTTCGAAACCCTTGCAGGAACCCTTAAAGGAGCGCTTGAAAGACCGCATTAAAGGAGCGCTAGTCTAGTTATTAAGGCCCCTATTCTAAACCCTTACAGGAACCCTTACAGTAACTTTTAAAGGAACTCTTAAAGGAATCCTTTAATGACCGCTTTAAAGGAACCCTAGCCTAATTATGAAGGCCCCTATGTTGCACCCAGAGCTCAAGGCCCTCTGGCTACTGTGCAGCAGAGGTTACTTAAATGATCATGGGACTTAGTAACTAAGGGTATTATTAGGGTAACTATACTTATAACTACTTTTTACCTCAATTAAGGTACTTATAACCATACTTACTACGTCCCATGATCCTCCAAGTACACAGTTCCCCAACATGGTACGTCACCCTTATGAAAAGGACCCCCCAAAAGGGACCCTAATTTAGAGAACTACCGTATCGTAATATACGAGAATGTACCATGGTATCCTAGAATACACCGTAACATACTATCCCTAGGGGACTCTCGGTTTGTATCTCTTGTCATGACTCCTGAGAATCTCCGCGTGGGCACGTTTCTCCCCTCTAGGCCCAGTGCAGTCCAACAAGGCCGCGAAGATCTTAATCACAGCCCAGAAATCCTCAATACGGTTGATGATAAAAGTCCTGCATTACCCATAATAAGGAATATACCATAATTCCCATAGTTTAGGATCCTTAGAAGAATAATAAGGAATAGACCAGAATTCCCATAGTGTAGGATCCTTAAGGTAATGCAGGATGCATATCATCAACTGAAGGCCTGGCAGGAGACAGGAGGCTTGAACCAACATCCCCCTTAGTTCCGGGTGTCTTGTTGAGGGTCCCTGCTTTCTTCTCATGAAGATCTCTGAATCAACGGGGGTTTTGGAGCCTTTAGGCCTTTTTGTAGGGTTTAGGGTTTGGGGGTTTAGCGTTTAGGGTTGAGGGTTTAGGGTTTAGGGCAAGAGGTGCAGCCATCAAAGCGAGTGGGTGAAGACCGCCGAGACGCGCGTGAAGGAGCTGCGGGTGCGCGCCTGAGTCTGGGTGTATGTAGTCATATCCGTGTCGACGGTTCTAGCACCCTAAACCCTAAACCACAGCAGCTAGTCAGACAAAGCCCAAAGCCCAAAGCCCAAAGCGTGGGGCATCGGGATCAACCTCTGGCTTCTTGGGCCTCTGACCGCTTGGCAGATGAGACCGAAGTCTCTCGTGTTGCGCGTTGTGCTTTGGGTTTTGGCACCATGGAGCTGGGGTTTTGAGTGTCGGACGGTCAGAGCCTTAATGTAGAAGAACTAAATAAGTACCAATATTATTCCTTAGGGTTCCTTACTGTAGCTATTTAATGAAAGGAGCCCAGAACCCTGTTCTAACTATTAAGGCCCCTGCACCCTAAACCCTAAACCCTATACCCTAAACCCCAAACCCTGAACCCTAAACCCTAAACCCCAAACCCCAAACCTTATTCTAATTATTCAGGCCCCCACATTACACCTCGACTCGCCTTAGCCCCTCGACTCACACTTGAGCCCGAGAAGCCTAGCTCCCTGAAGCCTGAATGGCCCAAATCCTATTTGGGGTTTAGGCTGTAGGGTCTCGGGTTTAGGGTTTAGGGTTTAGGGCTTAGGGTATGAGGTTTCGGGTTTAGGGTTTAGGGTTTCGGGTTTAGGGTTTCGGGTTTAGGGTTTAGGGTTGAGGGTACAGGGTTGAGGGTTTAGAGTTTAGGGTAGAGGGTTTAGGGTTCAGGGTTTAGGGAACCCAACCCCCTCGGCGCACAACTCGAAGTCGTCGCCGGAATACCAATTGTCAGGTGCTGTAAGGCTTCCGTAAAGGGTATCTTGGGGGTTCTAGGGGTCCCCTAGGCCCTGTGTGCCCCTAAACCCTAAACCCTAAACCCTACACGCTAAACCCGAAACTTAGTATCTAGAGCAACTCTTCAAGCTTCGCAGGGGGCTCCGCTGGCTTCGCTGCAGGCTGAGCTGGATCACACAAGGCAGTTTAGGGTTGGTTCAGGGATGTAGGGTTTAGGGTTTGAAGCTCAGGGATGTGGGGCTTAGGGTTGGGGGCTCAGGGATGTAGGGTTTAGGGTTTAGGGCTCCGGGAGGCATAGGGTTGTGGCTGGTTACCGGCTGGTTATCACTACCGCAGATCCTTCAAAACTACAGCATCACACACGCTACAACAGCCCTTCTGCGAGGGTTTAGGCTAGAGGTAAACTTTCTGTATGTACATACATACATGCATACACTTTCTGGTGCCTCTGCCAATGCGAAGGACTTGCATGATGAGACGGCAATGCCGCGGTGGGAGAACACGCAATCCGTTGCCCGTTAAAACAACACCTGGCCGCCCATGCTGCGCGCTTTTTCAGGCCCCGCCAAAGTCGAACAGCAACAGAAAGCTGGAGTTATATTTAGGTGCCGACACAGGCGCCTTTGGTCCCAAGTCCTTCGATATAGGTAATATAGGGGTCGGAATGGTTTTAATATGATATTAGAATGTAGCATGATATAACAAGACAAAGACCATAGAAGACAATGTAAGGTAATATAAGACAAAAAAATCGATATAAGAATAGTAAGTTAGTTTAAGCCACTATCAGGTAACATGCCAAAGCATAAGACACTACAAGGAAGTATAATCCTTCCGCCCCCTAAACCCCTAAACCCTAAACCCTAACCTTGAGCCCTAAACCGCAAACCCTAAACAGTGTCGCAGGTCGGGCTTGCAGAGTCTGCAGACTGCTCGGGACAGCACGATCCCTAGTTGTCCCTGAATTCGTGAAGTACTAGCCGAAGGTTGAGGGTGGTTCAGGGTTCAGGGTTTAGGGTATATCATACATACTAGAACTCTGTTGGGATTATCAAGGGATAACATGTCTACGTTGAGGTGCATGTAAGGAGATTGGGAATTCAACAAGATTGCTTGTGTGTTGTCGATTTCCACGCAGAGGTGTTTCACTGCGGAATGTTGCTAGTATGTCTGAAGGACGCCTGTGTATAAAGTGAGAGCACTGTAGTTCTTGAGCCGGTCAAAATGCATTGCATCCTTCCGAGTTAGGCTTGGGGTTCTGTGACCTGGAACCAAACCTGACACTGTAAGCCCCAAGCCCAGCATACTTCAAAAATAAATCAAACTTTGAACCGTCCAGAGCCGGACTATGAGGCCTTGCCGAGACGCTGCTCAGCCGCCGAAGCAAGGACATCTTCCATGGTAGGTGATTTCAGTGAGCAGCCCCAACTGAAGTGGCAACCCTACAAAATCTAAGCCCCAACCTTTAAACCGCAACCCCTAAACCCTAAACCCCTAAACCCCCAAATCCTCGAAGTTTTAACCCTAAACTCTGCAGGAAGCTTTCCCATGCTTCCCTTAGCTAGGGATTTCGGTTTTAGAGCTCTACCATTCTCTTCATCATGGGCACCCATCGGAGCTCTGCGGCAGCCTACGCCCTGAGGCTAATGCATACGAGCGAGGGGCCAAACTCCAAGTCCGAAGCAGTCAAACGATAACCCAACAGCACATCCTCATACCGTTGATGATATAAATCCTGCATCACCTTAAGGACCCTAAACTATGGGAATTATGGTATATTCCTTGTTATGGGCAATGCAGGGTTTATATCATTGACCGTACTTGTTGGAGCACCACTGCGCCTGCCTCAAACTCCAAGCCTTATTAATGCCTGTAGCCATAACCCATTGCATCCGACCATCAGCCATATCCGATAGCTGTAAGTCCCAAACCTCTTGTAAGTGGTATTGAAACCCGATGTTCCAACATCAAGCGGGTGTTAACTTGTCTGCGTAAACCTTGCAGAGCCGTTCCTCCCTTAACCCTAAACCCTAAACCCTAAACCCTAAACCCTAAACCCTAAACCCTAAGCCAAAGAGCCCAAACCCTGAGCCCTAACACAATGAAACCTGCAAGCCTTAAACCCTATAGCCCTAAAGCCCTAAAGCCTATAACTCTAAAGCCCGAAACCCTAAAGCCCCAAAGCCCTAAAGCCCTTAACCCTATAACTCTAAAGCCTTAAACCCTGCAACCCTAAAGACCTAAACACTGTAACCCTAAAGCCCTAACGCACCGGAACCCTCGCGCCCGCAACCCGTTCATGACCTCCCGGAACTCCCATGCTGTTCGCGTGAGGATATGGACCCCGAAATCCGGAAAAGCTGCGTGGAGGCCGCTTCCAGGGTTTTCAGGGTAGGGAGTAGGGTTTAGGGTTTGGGGTTTAGGGATGAAGGTTTAGGGTTTAGGGTGTAGGGATGAGGGTTAGTGTTTGGGGATTAGGGTTTTGTTTTTTTGGGGTTCGCGTCTAGGGTTTAGGGCTTGATTAAAGTCTGGGTTTAGGGTTTAGCGCTTCAGGGCTTTGGAAAAATTTGGGTTGCCAACAGGGTTTAGGGTTTATGGTTTCGGGGGTTCTTTGAGGTCTCAAATAGGGGCGGTATGCATCTGGGTAGTTCTCTAAATTAGGGTCTCTTGTGGATCCCCAGTATAGTACGGCATCCTTATAAAAAGGACCCCCAAAAGGAACCCTAATTTAGAGAACTACCCATCTGGGTTAGACACGTTTTGTCAGGGCTCCGGGCTCGGGATTCATCATGTTTTAGGGCTCAGGGTGTCGTGTTTAATCAATGCCGGCCCCTTTCCATAAGGGATCCTTTCTGGATCCTATAAGGTTTCTGAACGGTCTGGGGTTTAGGGTTTAGGATCCTGTACCCCTGATTACATTAGAGATAGCTGACAATGGGCAGCCGGTTAGCCGACTGCGTGAACATGCACGACAACAGTCCCCTCAAGTCAGTAGGCATTACAATCAAACTCACAACACGTAGAACATTAGCAGTGGTGGTGTTGGTGGTTCCTTCGTTGTTGAAGCAGAGGTCAGAAACCGTAGCAGCAAGAGCAAGAGGAGAAGCAGGAGAAGGAGGCAGAGCATCATAAGCAATAGATTGGCGCAAACCCTAAGCCCTAAACCCTAAACCCTCAACCCCCAAACTGTTTAGAAACCTTATAGGATCCAGAAAGGCTCCCTTGAAAGAAGCCTGACGTCGTCTGCAGCAGAACCAGCACAACTCTTATACTTCCCCTTGAAGCAGCCCTTAGTTTTTCAAGGAGCCCTGAACCCTAAACCCTAAACCCTAAACCCTAAACCCTGAACCCTGAACCCTAAACCCTAAACCCTAAACCCTAAACCCTGAACCCTAAACCCTAAACCCCAAACCCACAAAGGCCCGAAAATCAGGCCCTTGATCGCTGGACCAAATCCGACACTCAGGCCTCCCGGCAGGCGTCGGCAGGGAAGTTGAGCTTAGGTTTAGAGGGTGTTCGGGTTTATAAGACTTAAAGCTGTAGGGTTGAGCGTTTCAGGTTTGGGGCTTTCGGGGTTTAGGGTTCAGGGTTTTCGGGGTTTAGGGCTTGCGGTTTATGTGCGTGCATGTACCGCTTGAGTGGCGGGAGCACGATTTCGGGAGAAAGATTGCCAATTCTGTTGAATGGCACAACTCCATGGGTCCCTAAACCCTAAGCCCTAAACCCTAAACCGCCCTAAACCATCCTAAACCCAGGTCCTAAACCCTAAACCCTTACACAGAAGTTGCAGGCTCCAAGGTGAGTACTGTTGTCTCACACGCCTCGAGTTGCGGGGAGGTCCGATGGGGGAGGGTTGGGTCTAACGCGTTTAAGACAAACCCGAACACAGGATTTTCTAGGGTTTAAGGTTTAGGGTTTAGGGTGGTAGTATTAGGGAGAGACCTTAACAGGGACCCTTCTTAACAGGGACCCTTCTTAACCCTCATCATGGTTCTTTTCAAAACCCAAAACCCTGATCTCAAACCCTAAAACACAGCATTTCGAGACGACACGAGGGAGTCTACAGGAGGCGAAGAGAGTGGTTTTGCTAGGATTTTGGCCACTTCGAGCAGTTTGCAAAGCAAGCATCGTTTGTGATTTAGGTGTTTAGGGATTTAAAGGTTTAGAGGTTTAGGGGTTTAGCGGTTCAGAGTTTGAGTTCGGGGGCTTTGGGTTTAGAGCAGGGCCGGGCAGGATGTCCAACCAAGAACGCACCGTACGCGCCAGCACGTTCTGAGTCAAGCTCGGCAGCACATGATTTCACAATGACACTTCGTAGTAGAGTAGGTGCGGCAAAACTTTTTTGGGTTTGTATAACCCCTAAATCTAATCCCACAGGTTAGCCTGTAGTTCCCCTAGGATACTGGGCGAGTACGGACTTGGGTGTCCCCGGCGGATGAGGGGAATAACTCGCTGTTGGTCTAGTGATGTGCTCGCGGCATCACCATCCGACTCCCCTTACACTGACTACACCCTAAACCCACAGGCCTAGGCCCGTAATTAACCCAAACCCTTAAACCCTAAACCCTGTTCAACATTACATCCTAGATCGCATGCAGACCTTCGAAGCTCGCAAGCCTCCACAGGCGGCGTGGAAGCAATACCTGCATTGGGCGACCAGCGATCCCGATGCAAAGGCCCGGATCAAGGCTACGTCTCACTTTCTGTTGGTCAACTCCGTGCTAAACCCTCCTAGGACGACTGACGACTTTGTAGAATACCCACCCTAAACCCTAAACCCTAAACCCTAAACCCTAAACCCTAAACCCTAAACCCTAAACCCTAAACCCTAAACTCTGAACCCTGAACCCTGAACCCTAAACCCGAAACCAAAAACGATACTTGCATGGCGTATCGGAAGCTTGGAATGGCCAGAGGTGCGAACCGCTGCGCTGGCAGCGCTCACGGCGATGCTTCGAGCAGACCCGGGAGCAGAGGAGGCCAGTTTGTAGAGTCGTATTTTTGGAGGTTTAGGGTTTAGGGTTTAGGGTTTGCAGTTTTTGTCTGATGATTGTCATCGTGAGCTCGCAGAAAGAAGTCTGCCGGTGTATTTTGGTTGTGATTAGTTGTTGCTAGCATTACTACGCTTGTCAATTGTCTTATCATGTTGTTACTACTGCTACTCTACAGCAGCCACAGCAACAGTTTGTATGGTTAGACAGACAGGCACTTAGGTAGTTAGATAGATCGACCGATAGGTATGCAGATAGATAGATAGCTAGATAGCTAGATAGTCAGACAGATAGAGATAGAAGGGATAGCTAGACCGAAAGGGATAGAAAGAGAGAGAGAGCGAGAGAAAGAGAGAGAGAGAGAGAGAGACAGAGAGAGTGACGGGTAGACAGATAGATAGGCAGACAGACAGACAGACAGACAGACAGACAGACAGACAGACTGACTGACTGACTGACTGACAGACTGACAGACTGGCAGAGCAGAGAGAGAGAGAGAGAGCTAGATAGATAGAAAGATAGATAGGTAGATAGATAGATAGATAGGTAGATAGAGTAATAGATGGATAGATATGAGTTTAGAACAGAGACCTGTGCTATGTATATATTCAAATTCCATCTCACCTTGCAGGTTTCTAAAGGTATAGAAGGGTTGAGCATAGTGGTTGACCGGATCTAGTGTTCAGGGTTCAGAGAGAATCAGCACCCTACACCCTAAACCCTAAACCCTAAACTCTAAGCCCTAATCCCTAAACCCTAAACCCTAAACCCTAAACACTAAATCCTAAACCCTAAACCCCTATACACACTACAGCCTGAACTGGTTCAAGGGTACGGGTACAGTAGGTACATCGCAGACAGTAGGTCGCCATAAGGACTATTGTAACGGGAACAGCCATCTTACCGAATCCCGAAACACTAACCCTCAACCCCGAAAAGCCCTGAGCCCTAAATTCAAGCAGCACCTATCCGTAAACCCTAAACCCTAAATCCTGAGCCCTAAACCTTAAACCCACCTATCCCTGAACCTCGCACCCCAAGCACCATTCCGGCAGATTCAGTCTCTGGCAGAGGATGTCCGTCCGGAGCTTAGACCTATCCTTGGGGCTCTTAGGTTTAGGGTTTTTTTCGCGTGTTCTCTTTGCGGCGGGTCTTGTAACTTGTAGGGCATTATAGGCTGCTATGGTTTTGGGAAGGGCTCTCCTAACTTCTATTAAGGTTTGGGTGTCGGAGGTTGTAACCATAGTTAACGAGAGCCTAAATCCTCAGTCCGGAACCCCTTAACGAAGTGTAAACTCAAGACATGTATGGGCCTTAATAATTTGAACGAGGTTCTGGGCTCCATTATACTATAATTATAGTAAGGAACCCCCGAAGTAATATTGGCAATTATCGAATCCTCTGGAGAACGTATGAAACCCTACAGCACTCTTCTGCAGGTCCGTTGAAGGAAGTCGCCAAATTACCTGTAAATGTAGACATGTGTGTGTGTGTATATACACACACATACAGATGCAGACGCAGACAGAAATATAGATATAGATACAGATATAGATGAAGATGTAGATAGAGAAAAATTAGATAGCTAGGCAGGTTTATCGATACATACATATACACATATATATATATATATCTGTAGGTGTACATATATATATATATATATGTATACCTACATATAAATACATGTACATAGTTAAAATCTTGTAGAACCCTTGTGGAACTTTGTCTGCTTGACGGCGGTTTTCATGATACATATCGGATATCGCCTTCCAAACAGGCACATTCCAGTTAGTAAGGTCTAGTAACGTAAGGCCCCTGTTTCAAGCCCTACTCTAAACCGAAAACCCTAAGCCCCAAACCCAAAACCCAAAACCCTAAACCGTCTAAACCCTGAACCCTGAATCCGCCGTAAACCCTACACCCTCGATTTTTGCTGCCATGAGGTCTAAATGTAATCAAGCGCTGCAACGACGTGGACGCCTCCGCAAGCGCCGCTGCGCTGCGCTGCGCCGTGGTCTTGGCCGAGCTTGGAAGCCTTCCAGAGGTGGGGTTCATAAGGGTTTAGGGTTTAGGGGCCGAAATACTTACCAATAGCATTTTTGGGTTCCTGATTATGATTATAGTAGAATGGGCCCCCAAGCCCTATTCCAATTATTAAGGCCCCTACATTATTTTAAATAGAGGGGCCGAAAGAATTAGCAATACGTCTTTGAGGTTCCTTAGTATGAAAATAGGAGAATCCAAAACCCTATTCTAACCACTGAGGCCTCTGTATTACGGCGTTCAGCAGGGTCGATTTTGGGGCTTTTTGACCCAACACCCAAACCCTAAGGCCCCTAAACCCTAAACCCTAAACCCTAAACCCTAAAGGCCCTGACAGGTTCATCCCTGACGGCTTCCGGTTTGGGGTTTAGCCTTGGGGGTTCCGTCCGCTTGCCCTAAACCCTAAGCTTTACGGAAAAGTCTTGGGACGTATAAACCCTGAACCTTGAACCCCTAAACCTTAGAGGTGTAGGGTTTATGGTTTAGGGTTTGGGGTTTATTTAACCCTAAACCCCTAAACCCTACAGCCTTTGTCGGGCTGATTGTGTCGGGTTTGGGGGGGTCGGGTCGGCTGTCCGGCCTATGAGCACCTGGAAGAGGACGAGTTCGACCCCATTGTGGACCTTATCTGGGACAAAGATGAAGCTTTGCTACCATTGGTGCTTCGGTTCAGGGTTTGGGATTTCGGGTTTAGGGTTTAGGGTTCCGGGTTTAGGGTTTCGGGCTTCCTGATCCAGAATGGCTTTGGTTGGTCGTTGCATAGGCAGCATCATGCACTGTAGAGGTCGTCGTAATCCATAACAGACGCCGCCTTTGTACTTGTAGCCCCATTTGCATATTTTCTACAACCCCTGAACCCCTAAACCCTAAATGCCAAAGCTGTATTCAAATGATTGCGGCCGCCCAGCTGAGAGTTGAAATCGTGACACCCTGGAGCCCTAAAGCCCGCAAAAAAGGGGCCTTAATAGTTAGAATAGGGTTTTGGGGCTTATTGTACTATAGTTAAAGTATATAAGGAACCCCCAAAATGGTATGGATAATTGTTGAGGCCCCTACATTATAGAAAGCCTCAAAGCACTAACAGCCTGAAGCCCCGAACCCTGAAGCCCTACACACCTCCCAGATCTTGAGCCTCAGGTTTAGGGTTTGGAGTTTAGGGCTCAAGGAAGTGTAGGCTTTAAAGTTCTAAGTTTTTTTGGGTTTTTTTGATGTATGTTGGGTAAGCGAAGACGACTTGAAAGAAGGCCGTCTTGTTTTCCTACCCTGCGAAGTAGAGCTTATTTGCACTTTTGGTGAATGTGCTTGTTGACTTGGTCTCGACTCCTTAGGAATATTGGTGACGGTGATTGCACAACTGGCGTATGGCCATGATGATACAATACATGCCCTCTTCCTGTAATGTAGGGGCCGGCGTGATTATCAATCCTATTCCTTTCAGGGCTCCTTATATGTATCCCAAACCCAGGTTTAATCATTGAGGCCCCCAGCATTACGTGATTTCAGGCCGGTGCTCCCCTAAACCCTAGACTCTAAACTCAGTAACCTGAGTGCGAGCGGATAGATATCTGCTGACTTCATCCTAGAAGTTTGAAGTTTGGGTTTAGGGTTTAGGAGTTTTGGCTTTTGGGCTTTCGACGTCCTGTGCCGTGCGTGACAACCTCTGGCCCGGGGAGTAGTTCGTGTGGCTCTGGATAGCCACCGGGCCTTTCTGGACGGATGCCGGCGAGAACGCCAAGGTTCGGGAAGTCTGGATGTGCTCCTGTGGCGTGGAGTCGCGTGCCCGTAGACGGTGTTCCGGCCATGCAGCTCTATTTGGAATCCCATGGGGCCTAGATGCAACTATGCATGGTTCTGCCGCCGATGGAACGTCTCCACGGCTGCGCCTGCTAACCGGAGGGCGCCTTCGCACGTCGCCTTGGCGCGGTCGCAGCTGATGTGCTGCGGGTGCTCAACGACGCAAAGGAGCAGGAGGTGGTTCAGCGTTTTCCTTCGAGTCGGAAACCGGGGCCGGGTCGAAGCTGCCTATGCCAGACCTGAAAAAGAAGCTGAGCGCGCTCGCACCCACGTGCGTGGCAAGTCAATAGCTGGCCGGACCCTGCTTCTGCGCGCATGTCTACTCCGCCCAGCAATTAGCTCCAGCTCGTACCACGTTCTAGCGCTTACTCTTTCTTTAAGCGTGCGCTTTGTGCTGTGTAGTTTCCCGATCCTGCGTGGAAACCATCCTGCACTGCCTGATGTCGCCGCGCCGCACAGTTCTCGACATGCACGTTGTCTTGTGTATGTAACCGTCGTAGTCTCTTGATGCCATTGCCATTATCCGCACTTCTGAACAGGACCTGCGTGAAGAGCATCCTCCAGTTCCTCACGGCCGAGGGTGCCGTGTGTCTGCTCCTCTCTGGGCATCGCGGTCGGGCATGCTCCGGGCTTATGCAGCGATTGGCTTCCGTGACTACATCTCGACGCCACGCTCGAGCAGATGTTGATGCCCTGCTCTTCGCAGAGCTGCGGTGCCCCGGCATGCCGAGCTGCGGTGTGCTTTCCCTGTGCAGGATCGAACCACTGTCTCCGTCGACGCTCCTTTCATCGGCGTTTGTGGCACAGTTCACATGGAGGAGCTGATGTCCACTCTCGGGGACACGGATCCACTGGGCTTGCGGGAAAGACTTCTCATCATGTACGAGCGTCCTCGGTTCGTTTCGTCGGCAGCCATTCGCGATGCCTGCGCACGTATTCCGGCAGACACCTTATAAATGTCTGGCTTGCCAAGTCTTTCTGGCCGCTGCACTTTGTGCACGCAGACAGCCACAAGTTGGCTCCATTCAAATGCGACCTCAACTTCTCGTGGTTAGCCTACAAGCTGTCTGCGGATGCGGAGACAGCGTTCTGGAATCAGTTCGGACGCGACGGCCAAGAAACAAGAGCAGCAGTACGGTGGAGTGGCTCAACCAGCCGGAAAAACTAGACCCGTCATGCACGGCTGGCGGTGCCGCTCCACAATTTTGTGCAGAAATCTGCCGTCCCATTTTACCCGGCGACGTCCCTTGTATTTTATGTGTTATATGTATGTATGTATGTATGTATGTATGTATGTATGTATGTATGTATGCAAATATGTCGGTATGTATGTATGTCTCCATGTACGTATGTATGTATGTATGTATGTATGTATGTATGTATGTATGCATGTGTGTGTATGTATGTATGTATGTATGTATGTATGTATGTATGTATGTATGTATGTATGTATGTATGCGTGTCTCTGTGTATGTATGTATGTATGTATGTATGTATGTATGTATGTATGTATGTATGTATGTATGTATGTATGTGTGTAGGTGTGTAGGTGTGTAGGTATGTATGTATGTATGTATGTATGCATGCATGCATGCATGCATGCATGCATGCACGTACGTAGGTATGTATGGATGTATGTATGTATGTATGTATGTGTGCATGTATGTACGCATGTGTTTACATATATATATATATACATACCTATCTATCTATATGTATGTATATGTATATTCACCCAGACATACATGCATACACACATTTACACACTATTCACAGCCAGAAGTCATCCTCAACGCCTGCAGGCACAGAACAAGTACTACTCGCAGCGCCCCGGCAACAATTTGTTGTGAGTTGCATGTGCGTGGGCTGTTACACCCACCAATCCCTAAACCCCCATCCCCAAACGCTGTTTTACTAAACCTGACTCATCGCTGTTTGGCCAGATAGGTCGAAGTAAAGTTGTCCCGTGCCATCACGTGTTGAACAAGCTGCAGAAGATTCAATCCCCTCACAAAGGCGTGGCCTTCGGTCATGTTGAAACCCTACACCCTAAACCCCCAAACCCCTAAACCAAAAAAGCCTGGTAGCATTTTCCTGTGTAGCGATCCCGATGCCCAAATCCTAAGCCGACTGAGCTGCTTTGTAGCCTAGAGGCCCCAAGCTGCAAGACCTCCCGGTAATATAGGGGCCTTAATGGTTCCTTCAAGGAGCTCCTTAAGGGGTTCTATACGGGCTACTATAAGGGTTTGGGAAAACGAGCCCCCACGATAGTATTGGTAATTATTTAGACCCCTACAGTACGTACGATCTTTCTTGAATAAGGACTAGAATGGTAGGGGCAATAGTAGTACAAGTAATAAGCAATAGTCACAATAGTGCCAGTGATAAGAGTAACAATACTCATAACAGCAATATCAATAATAATCCTCATCTGAATGTTTTCTCGCTATTCCTGTTGCACGTGGTCTTTTGTTTTGGCCAATACCCCTGTCAGTGTGGTGCCCAGAAAGCTCAGCAGCAGTTAGTTCAGGCAGCATGCCATAACTTACATTTGGAATCAACATCTTCCTGAACTATAGGAGTGTCGGCTCACCGGGTGGTACCACAAGACGACGGAGGAGTCAGTAGCAGTGCCTCATGGCCTGCGCCCTGAACCCTTCACTGACCTAGAACTAAGTCGGCAAGTAGGCGATAATTTCCGCATTACATGCGACAACCCGCTTCGGGCACTTACCTTGCTTTGAACCTGCTTGCCAGGTTCCCTCTAAGCAGGGTTTAGGGTTTCATGGTTTGGGGTTTAGGGTTTAGGGTTTTATGGCAGGGTTTAGGGTTTATGGTAGGGTTTAGGGTTTAGGGTTTTATGGTAGGGTTTAGGGTTTAGGGTTTCAGGGTTCCAGGGTTTAGCGTTTTGGGTTTAGGGGTTCTGAGCCTCGACCCGTAGCCCGAAACCCGACAAACCAGGGCCTGACCCTTCGATGGTAAGGTGGAGCCCTCACAGCTACCGGGTAGTTCTCTAAGTTAGGAGCCCTTTTAGGGTTCTTTGTATAAAGGGTGCCGTCGTATGCTGGGGACCTAAATCTGACGCTAGTTTAGAGAACTACCCGACAAGCCCAAAAGCCCCAAATCCCTCACGCCTTTCAAGCCATCAATTTCGTAAGAAGCCTACAGGAGCCTTTTTAATACACTTTATAAGGGGCCCTCGTATATACTGTAGGCTGTAAGCCTCTACATTCCTCTACCGGAGCCTGTAAGATGAACTTACCACTTTCAGGCCCTAACCCCAAACCCCACAACAAAGCCCTAAACTCTACACCGTAAATCCCTAAAGCCATAAACCTGTATAGAAGCCGTATAGATCCCTTAAAGGAACCCTGAAAAGCCTAAACCCTAAACCCTAAACCCTAAACCCTAAACCCTAAACCCTAAACCCTAAACCCTGAACCGTGAGCCCCCAAGCCTCCAGGTGCCTCCACAGTTGCCCGGAGCGCTGGGAGTGCAACGCCCGCCGACTTTCGGATGGCACTGCACCCATCCTTGCCTAAACCAAAAACCCTGAACCCTAAACCCTAAACCCTAAGCGCTAAACCCTAAACCTCCGAACCCCCACGGCAAAAGTCTATGTATCAAGGCTTCCACCTGGACCCTAAACTCTAAACCCTAAACCGTAAACCCTAAACCCTAAACCCTAAACCCTAAACCCTAAACCTTAAACCCTAAATCCTAAACCAGAAACCCCTAGACCGCAAGCCTTGACTGGAGGATCCTCAGGCTTGCGAGGCCGAGCCCTAGGTAAAGCTTAGACGCCAGTTCCTCAACTGTTGTTCAGTGTGCTCCGGTTTAGGGTTTA